CTTCGGCCAGATCCTATCTGGGTTCTTGTCCTTGCTACCACCACGCTCCCCCTTGTTTTCATCGTAACAATAACCGGTATATTTTTCCTGGCGGGTTTAAAAGCAAAGGTTAGTGCTGAGTCCTAGTCACCCTTCAGAATTTTGTCTCTTCAATTGCATCTTCCCAAATCCGTCCACTGAGGCCACAGTAGGAATGAAGACATCCCTTGATTTACACCTTTAAAATCACTAACGGACTTGTTACTGTGGGGTGGGTCCAGTGATCACGATGTTTGACAACTAAGTAAATGGGTACCTTGTGGGGCTGAGGTTGAGGGACAGATGAAGTGGTAAAGAATTATTATTTGCAAGGTTCAAGACAAAAAACGAGTACGCTTTCTAGTGGACTTTGAGATTTAGGAAGCTATTCATTGCAAAAACATGTATCAAAAGTGCACATTAAAGGATACCTTAGTTACCCAGTCCTATTCTACTACATCCCACAAACTCACATATCTCTGCTACAACCATAATTTTGCTAAACATAAATTAGACCTCTTGATTTGTTCCTTAAAAGACAGCAATCCAGCAATCTTAGCATAGCTAGAGAATCAATGTAGTCTTCACTGATGGAGCAAAAGTTGAAAGGAAGATTCCAAAGGGTAACTTCCAATCTTACGTTTTAGAAAAAGGAAAAGTTGTTGCATTTACATCATCGCCTCTTTTGTAATATCCAGATCGGAGATAGGAAGAAAATGGCTAAAGGTGTAGGGAAAGTGGGAAGGCTAGGGGAAAGGTAATAAGGGAAAAGAAAAAATATGAGAAAATGAAAAAATGGAAAGAAAATGTCTATAAATGGGGAGGGCATGGGGGGTGAAGGGAGGGCACCGACAAGGGGAGAAAATGAGAACCAAGATCTGTCATGTAGAGGTACAAGATCCCAATAATGAATGTAACTGTGCTGTATACCTAAAATGTACCAATAAACTCAATAAAACATTAAAAAAAAGAAACCAGATCAGAGATGGCTAAAGAACTGATGGTTAATGAAAATATTTGCTTTATCTCCTACAGACAGGAGGGTTTTTTTGTTTTGTTTTTGTTTTAACTAGATTGAGAAGATGATGAAGATGACCCTATGGGCAAATCCAACAAACACTGGTCCTCTATGTATACATTTGTACAAAGATATAGTTAAAATTTGAAATGCAACAAGTAGACCAAGGCAGACTTAAAAATTATCCATTTTATTTTTATCTATCTATCTATCTATCTATCTACCTAATCTATTTATTTAGGTACGGGGGATCCAACTCGGGACCTTGTGCTTGTGAGGCAGGCGGCAGCACCACTGAGCTAAATCCTCAGCCTAAATCTACCCATTTTATAATTAAAATTACGTGAAGTAGACATAAGCAAAACAAATCGTCAGTTTATTATCACAGCAAAAGCAATATATATTCTTAAACAGCTTCAAATGATTACTTTTAATAATCCTTTTAAGAACTATTTTGCAAAACTAGATATGCCAGTTTCCAAACTAGGATCAACTTCAATAAGACAGGGAAATCATAAAAAGTAAAAGAAAACAAGTCAGGTAAAATGACTTTACAGCAGGATTATTCTTCATGTCTTTCATCTAGATACTGAATAGATAATATGTGAAAACTCACCCTATTTCTAGTGTATTTAAAATACATAATGCAAGATCTGACTATAAATACTATAGTTCATCATATAAAAACTTACTATTCTTTTACTTTGTGTCTCAACCTACTTTAAGTGTATTTTAAGAGTAACAGTTAACGAAGCCCATAAGGGCACGAATGAAATTGGTAATCAACAGTAAAGTTAATCAGTTTTCCAGGAGGAAATTAAGAGTGGACATGAATAGGACATACAAGGTATTGAAAAATACTTTGTTTAAATAAAAAATTTATTACAGTGAGACACACTGCCATTAATACCCTTCAAAATACGTCCCCCTCACTTTGAACACACGCATTCCACCATTCTTGCCACTATCTGAAGCCAACTTTCTGAAAGTCCTCTTTATGAATGTTTTGAGTGGGGTCTGCTTCAATGTCCTGAATTGATTCAAAACTTCTATGTTTTACAGTCATTTTTGACTTTGAGGAAGGGCCAGAAGCCATATGGTGACAGACCCAGTGAATAAGGTTGATGAGGACACACTGTAACGTTTTCACAGGCCTGCCATTTAGATGAATAGCAATCACAAGCAGCATTCACCAAGTTTTTTAATCACACCTTGTAGAGGCACTTATGAAAAAGGACTTCCAGAACTGCTTTAGAAAGTGACAAGACTTATAAGGCATGGAGGATTAAATTCAATAAAATCTAAATAAACCATGATTAAAAATTTTAAAAAGGAAAGCGGCAAGAATGATGGGCTAAGTGTGTTCAAAGCAAGGAACATTCTGGGGGGTTAATGGCAATGTGTCTTTTACTTAATAAATTTTAAAAATTTAAAAATTTACCATATTTTTAAATTGTCCCTTGTATGTTAGCAATGGAAGGAGAGGTCACAAATATGCTACAGAGCAATAATTGGGACTGGATGTGGAGGCAGGGTTACACAGTGGACAGAAGGAGCAGATGTGAATGTGGGGGTGTCCGGTCATTGTAAGGAAATCTGTGTCCCTTTGTGTCCCTAGAGGCAGAATGATTTGTAGTGAAATATTCTGTGATTTCTCCTCTTCTCTTTGGCAACTACATGCCTTTCTTACCAAAATACACACAAACAGACAGATACACACACACACAAGAAACACAAAACAATACATTGAAACATTCGTTTGCTTAACCAAATAACAATAAGAGAAATGGAGAGAGGAAATGTTAAGAAAAGGCAACTTTCCTGAGCTATGTGTAGATTCTAAGAATTCAGATATAGAACTTTTAGCTACTAGGCTGCCCTCCCTCTCCCTTGGGGCTTCTCGCCAGTTATTTATATTTATCCCTTGGATGTACAGGACTAGGAAAAAGAAAAGACAGGCTAAAAGAATTGTAGGTGTTAATCCCCTATCAATAATCTTTGGTCTTTTCATTTTCCAAATGTAGAAACCAAGATCCAGAGAGGTTGCAAAACATAATCACAGAGCTGATTTTGATAGAGCCAAGACCAGAACAAAAACATCAGTTCAGTTTTATTTACACATCTCAGAACTTCTCAAGTTCAAGAATTTAAGAGAAAGCTAGTAAAAAAAAGACTAACTTTAAAACAAATGAAGAAGGAAGAGGAGAGGGAGAGGAAGAAGAGAGACAGGAGGATGAGGAAGAAGGGAAAAAAGAATGGACAGGGGAGAAAGAAACAACTGCTAGATGACACTTAGGGGTGTACTAGTCACCAGGGATCCCTATCAAAGATGCACAACTCTAAAGTGATAACTTGTTTCATTATTGACCTCAACTCTTCCAGGCAACCACAAATGGTTCTTGATAGCCCTGGAAACTACTCAGAGCTATCTGTACATCTATCAAGTGTTTTCATTACTTTACATTTTGTGTCTGGCATGAGACTGGGCAATAGATGGGTAGTTCTACACTAAAAGTTTATTTCTTTTTTGCTTGCTGGATCTATCACCAACTTACTGATGTTTAACTAACTAGAAAAATAGGTTATATATTTGCATTGTCTTGAATTATTAAATAAGATAGTTTTATTATAAATTATTTTATATGCCTAAATATGTTGTCTAAGCTTTTAACATAGAATATCTTCAATATATAACATATAGTTAAAAGTCTTCCTATAGAAGTTACAGAAAATACTAGAATTGAACATAAGTGTCCTATTGGGCCAAGAGTATATATTTTATGACCACAAATATTATAGCTCAAAATAAATTACTGCCTAAAATCAATGATGAAGGAATGGAAGAGGAACAGGGAACTGAAGAACTTCAATCAGCACTGACTATATCGCTTTCACTCTTACTGCACTCAATAATTCTCTAAAACTCTCTCTGGTGAAAGTTCCTTGAATCCCTTCACTTAACCTTCTTTGCTCAGATCACTATCATCTCTACCCTCTGTACTCAGTGGACTGTTAAGTAGTCTCTCAGAGCTCTTCTTTGCCAAACCATCCTCTGCAGCACAGCCAGAGGACTCCTTCTAAAGGCCAATACGATCGTGCTGCTTCTGGCCTAAAAAAACAACAACAAACTTATTCTTAAGAGAAAGCCCAAACACTTAATTAGGCAATCCCAGATCCCTGTCACTTCTACCATCCCTCCCTTAAACCCTACAATCTAGTTGTAATGATCCTTTTATCCACATAGCTAGGTCTCCCAAAGGACCAACCTGATCCAATCCTCCCACCCTTCCTAATCCCTGCTAGGGATTTCCAACCTTTATTTATCTATTAGGTCTCATCTGATTTCAGAGGCCACCTTCCAAGACACCTCAAAGCTGCTAAGG